AAATTTCCTCCGTTACAGGATGGCTTCATTCGTCATATACTTCTTCCTTAGTCTTCATGGCCATCTACTTTCCAGCATGGACTTGTTTATCAGTTACATCCTCAGAGGGGATTAGGCCAGGATAATCAAATTCTTTCGCATGACATTGCCACACTAGGGCGCCTTTATCTGGTATTTCTTCTGTCATTAACGAGCGCTGTGAACTTTCCTGTAGTAGTGTAATCCAGTCTAGTTGAAGCACCCACACTTTATATACTTTATAAGTAACATGTTAATATCGCTGGATGGAAAGTCGGATTTGTCTATGGATTTAAGTTAGCTTATTGGATCTATAGATACGCAGAGTAACTGTGTTTTTATGAGTATCTTGGGCTAGTATTGTTGGTGAGACCTTAATTTCTCATGAAAGTGCATGGAGAAGTAATTCGAAGGTCGATTTAAGCGGAAAAGGACGGCTGATTCCCGTTGTACTGCAGCCATTCGGCTTGAATACGACGTTCAGGTTGACGCAGTCCATAATAGATCCTCCCTCGCTTCGAATGAGAACGGGCTTAACTTCAGTCCATTATATGATGGACATTCTCAGTGCTGGATCTCGTTTTATAAAACGGGTATCAGCCGTCCTCTGCCGGTGAGATCGAATTCGAATTATTTCTCTTTCACTTTCATACGAAATGAAAGTCTTCCTAACAATATTGAATATTGGCAATATTGCCTAATGACTCTATACTTGTCATTTCTTTACCATTTCAGACACACATCGTCTGTTAACTTAACTGTGCCCTTTAATCCAGAAGCCGGTGAATCTGTGCTTAGCTGTACCGGGCTGGGCGATATGACTCTCTTCTACACACATGCAGTCTTCCTCTTGGCTGGCCTGACGCTTGCCAGTCTTGTGGTTTCCGGTTGCCTGATTTCCATGACGCCCCCATACGCACCTCCTGAAGCCCCTCGTCGACTTTGGCGCCAGTTAGCTCGCCTCTTATTAGGAGGTCTACTGCCTGGGCTCGCTTACTTTGCTAATCACTCTGAGGCCACTCGTGTTCAGTGGACTCCGCCGTTACGCGAGAGCTTCTCGTACCCTTTTTTTACTGCTCAGCAAGCCGCTCTTCTCGCTTGTCTGCTGTTTTGTTCATCCTCTGAAAAGCATGTAAGTACATAAAAAATGAATTCTATTCAGAAAATTTGCCTTATTTACTCTTTTCTTGTCCACTTTATAGCGATTGGTCATTTTTTAGACACAATAGTAAATGATTTGTTTTTTGAGACTTTATTTTTTTCTTCCATTTGTTCTAGGCATGATTTGCTTTTTGGTCATTTCATTATTTATTTACTCATCATTCCTTTTCTCCTACTTTAGGACTACGAACTTGCTTTTGTTCCCTCAGATATAGCATGAGGACGAATGTCCACTAAGTTCTATCTTTTTCATTTAGCTCTGATATTCTTCCATCAATAAAGCTCACGTATTTTTTCTTATTTTATATTATTTTTCCTTTTACCTACTTTAAATCACTATTACCTCATTATATTAATAAGTGAGCTATACTACTATACGGTTTTTATAGTTCCCATTTGCGGATCTTCACCATCGCACATATCCTGACTGGCTATGATTGTTGATGAAATTCATGCTCAAAATTTGGCAATATCAACATTCTCTGTAAGGCCTTCATTAGTCTCACATTTTACTTCTTCAATTTGTCCATTTTCCGGACCTTCCCTTTTAACACTCGCCTTCAGTCTTCCGCCTTTAGCACTCGTCGGCTTGTTTCACTGTCAGTGGTTTCTCTTCAG